AGAAGAAGAAGAAGAAGAAGAAGAAGAAGAAGAAGAAGAAGAAGAAGAAGAAGAAGAAGAAGAAGAAGAAGAAACCATTTTATGGGAAAGATTTCCTAAAAAGATTTCCACTTTTCTGGAAGTGGGTATCATTGATATATTTTTAAAATTGCTTAAATTGTGGGTGATTTAAATTATGTACATATTTTACATACACTTAAGCATATGGAATTTCATTTTTGTAACTTGTATTTGAGTGTTTTTCTTCAAATCATAAAGGCATTTAGGGAATTTCAAAGTTTTTCTCTGTATACTTGAAAAGGATCATAGAGTTTTTATCCAGTCTTATATTAAAGTTGTTTTTTTACATTAACTATGCATTTTAAATTAAATTACATATTTGGGTCACATTTCCTGTCCATGTTATATAATATTTTCTTTATATTGGAAGGTTTGGATTGTATTATAATATATGTAATTTTAATTTTTTTAAAATTCATTTTACATACCAACCACAGATCCCCCTCTCATCTCTTCTCCCACTTCCCCCCTTCCCACCTTCCCTCTACCCCCGACCCATCCCTCATCCCCTCCTCCAACAGGTTATGTTCTCCCATGGGGGGACAGCTAAGCCTGGTACATTCAGTTGAAGCAGGACCAAGCCCCACCCTTCTGCATCAAGGGTGAGCAAGATGTCCAACCACAGGTAATGGGATCCAGAAAGTCAGCGCATGCCCCAGGGATGGACCCTGATCATACTACCAGAGGCCCTTCAAACAGACACAGCTACACAACTGTCTCTTGTATGCAGAGGGCCAGTCTGGTCCCATGCAGGTTCTACAGCAGTCGGTTTGAAGTTCATGAGATCCTTTGAGCTTGGTTCAGTTGTCTCTGTAGAGTTCACCATCATAATCTTGACCCCCCTTGCTCATACAACACCTCTTCCCTCTCTTTGACTGGACTCCTGGAGCTTGACCTGATGCTTGGTTGTGGATCTCTGCATCTGCTTCCATCAGTTACTGATGGAAGCTCTTTGGGTCCAGTCAGAGCTGGCAGAGTCAGTTTCCTCTTCATGTTTCTTGATGTGTAATTTAGAATTTTTTGTCTGCAAGGTATTGTTTCTTGTTTTCCTAGAGAATCTCAGACCTTGAAAATTGTGAGTTTTCAAGGAACCTTATAAAGTAATAAAAATATTCTGAGCACAAACCTAGATTCAACATTCTAGGTAAATATTTGTTCTGATGGAGAAAGCTAAAAAACGGAATTCTGTGGAAGTGGACATAAAATGGTGTAGTTTAGATTCACATGTGTTCCTTTACTATTAGACCAGTCCTCACTGACCAGTATTTGATTGAGTGTTTCAGTAGGAAAATATGGGAGTGAGTCCAGTGTTCCAAGTGAAAATAGTCAAAAATCGCATTAAAAAGTGAGCCCAGTGATGGACGAGTTGAAAGCCTTTAACTGTAAAAGGGAAATTTTAAATGGATCATCATGGAGGTCAATAGAACTATAATGTGGCCTCATGATGAGTTTCTTTTTTCTTTTTTTTTTTTTTAGAATGTATAATTTTTTTCTCCCTGAGCTGAGGACTGAACCCAGGACCTTGGGCTTGCTAGGCAAGCACTCTACCATTAAACTAAATCCCCAACCCCTAGAATGTATAAGTTTTTAATTAAGATTTTTTGATTCATTTTATATACCAACCACAGATCTCCCTCTCTTCTCTCCTTCTGCCCCCTACCTTCCCCCAAACCCACCCCCCATTTCCTCTTCTGACAAGGTAATGCCTCCCATGGGGAGTCAGCAGAGCCTGGTGCATTCAGTTTCAGGCAGGTCCAAGCCCCTTCCCATGCATCAACACTTTGTAAGTTGTACCTCCATAGGTAGTGTGCTCCAAAAAGCCAGCTCATGCACAAGGGATGGATCCTGATCCTAGTGCCAGGGGGCCCCTTAAGCAGGTCAGCTACCCAACTGTCTTGCTTATGCAGAGGGCCTAGTCCAGTCCCATGGAGGCTGCACAGGTGTTGGTCTAAAGTTCATGAGTTCCCACTAGTTTTGTTTAGTTGTCTCTGTAAGTTTCCCCATCACAATCTTGATGCCCTTGCTCATAGAATCCCTCTTCTCTCTCTCTTTGACTGGACTCTAGGAGCTCGGCCTGGTGCTTGGCTGTGGATCTCTGTACCTGCTTCCATCAATTACTGGATGAAGGCTCTATGATGACAGGATATTCACTGATCTGATTACTGGGGTAAACTAGTTGGGCACCCTCTCCACTATTGCTAGGTAATCCTTGTGAATTCCTAGGAACTTCCCAAGCACCTGGTTTCTCCCTATCCCCATGATGTCTCCCTCTATCATGGTATCTCTTTCATTGCTCTCCCACTCTGTTCCTATTCCAGATCAATCATCCTGTTCCCTTATGTTCTCATCCCCCATCCCCTACCCTCTATTGCCCCCCATCCCAGTTTAATCATGGAGATTTCATCTATTTCCCCTTCCCAAGGTGATCTATGAATCCCTCTTAGGGTCCTCCCTGTTTCCTAGCTTCTCTGGGGCTATGGGTTGTAGTCTGGTTATCCTTTGCTTTACTTCTACTATCCACTTATGAATTAGTACATACCATGTTTGTCTTTCTGAGTCTGGGTTACCTTACTCAGGATGATATTATCTAGTTCCATCCATTTGACCAGGCTTCTTCTTATCTTTTCTCTTCTCCTGCATCCTTAGGAAATTTGCGTTTGTCCAGGATCATGAAACAGCATCACAGCTTCTGCCTTTGCAAACACCAAGGTGGTCCCATCCACCAGTGGGGACATAGAGGAAGTTTATCTTTATAGTAACTTCCATGGCTGCACAACTTAGGAACTATTGCTTTTAAGAGTGCTTCAGGGATTAATTTTAAGATATATGCGCTTGATTGCTCTTTAAATTATTGATACATTTTTATTTTATTTTTAGGTTTTTGAGATTTTAACATAGTCACATTTCTCATTTTCATTTCTTTTCTCAAAAATGAAGGCAGTGTTGGACATGGGCTCTCTCTCATGGTGTGGGCCTCAGGTTAGACCAGTCATTGGTCGGCCACTCCCAGAAGCTCTGAGCTGCCTTTCCCCTACCACACCATGCAGGCAGGTCAGGCCATGGTCATAAATTCTGTGGCTGGGTTGGTGTACCAGTCCCACCACTAGGAGCCTCGCCTGGTTACAGAAGTTGATTGTTTCAGGCTCCACATCTTCATTACTAGGAGTCCTTGCTAGCTAGGGTCAATGTGGATGGGAAAAGGAGTGATCAGTTGTGGGAGGGAGGAATGGAGGAAGAGAGTACAAAGAGAGACAACAGAATTAGGTGGGCATTTAGGGGTGGTATGGAAATCTAGTGCAATGGAAGCTTCCTGGAACCTATAAAGTTGATCCTTGTTCACATTCAAATTCATGCCTTCTTTTTTGAGTAGTTGTTTTTACACACACACACACACACACACACACACACACACACACACACACACACACACCCCTAAATACTTAAATACAAAAATCAATTATGTTTGTTATTTGAGTTAAAAATCAAATTTTCCTGTGTTATTCAGTTGTCCTAAAACTTTTGGGAAACATTTACTAGTATGTCTTTTGACAATTTGTAAGATGAGTTAGTGACAATTAGTATATAATACTTTTGAGCCCTCAACTTATATCAAGTAATTATATATATATATATATATATATATATATATATATATATAT